TACTCAAAGGATCATGGGACTTAGTCGCTAGGGTTGCTTAAAGGGTTCCTGAAAGGGTTCTAGAAGGGCTGACTAGGGGGTTAAGCTTAAAGTTAAAAGGATCACTGGACTTAGTAACCAGGTTTCCTAAAAGGGTTCCCCAAAGGGTTCTATAAGGGCTTGCTAGGGGTTTAAGGCTAAAGGGTCATGGGACTTAGTAACTAGGGTTATAAGTACGGTAAGTAGACTTACAATTGCTTACAACCCCAATAGAGATACTAAGAACCTAACTTACTAAGCCGCTTAAACCCTAAATCCTGAACCCTAAACCCTTACTGTAATCCTCCCTAAACCCTAAACCCTAAACCCTAAACCCTAAACCCTAAACCCTAAACCCTAAACCCTAAACCCTAAACCCTAAACCCTAAACTGTAAACCCTTCCTCCAAGTAGTCTTGTCATCTGCGAGAAGCTTAGGATGGGGAGCTTCGTTTTTTTTTCTGGATCTTGGGGTTTAGGCTTTTGGCTTTTTGGGGTTAAGATTTAGGGTTTAGGGTTTAGGGTTTAGGGTTTAGGGTTTAGGGTTTAGGGCTTTGGGTTACTTGCGGTTTGCTCAGATTTGGTTCTCGAAGGTTTGAGGGTCATTTCGCCACTAGGTCGGTTTTGCGGTGTTTTTGGGGATTCAGGTCGGGTTGTTTAGGGTTTGGGTTTAGGGTTTAGGGTTTAGGGTTTAGGGTTTAGGGGTCGAAGCCCAACAACTCTAGCCCCCCACTCCAAAAAACAGTTGAAGCAATTAAAGACCGACGCCGTTAGCCACAAAACTCTGAAAACCCGAAGCCATAAACCCTAAACCATCCTCGGCCCTAAGTCCGAAACCCCCAAACCCTAAACCCTAAACCCTAAACCCTAAACCCTAAACCCTAAACCCTAAACTCCCAAAGCCCGACCCAGACTCCCAAACCAGGGGATTTCGGAGCAGATCCTGCTACGGCTGCTTGGCTTCTTCGAGGCTTTACCTCCCTTGGCCCAGCAGGTCTTTGAGAGGACGGGGGTTGTAGGGTTGTAGGGTTTAGGGTTTAGGGTTTAGGGTTTAGGGTTTAGGGTTTAGGGTTTAGGGTTTAGGGTTTGGGGGTTTAGGGTTTAGGAGGACGGGAGTTGTAGGGTTTAGGGTTTAGGGTTTAGGGTTTAGGCTTTAGGGTTTAGGGTTTAGGAGGACGGGGGTTGTAGGGTTTAGGGTTTAGGGTTTAGGGTTTAGGGTT